GCAATGACCAAGTCTGTTTTATAGATATTTTCAAATAAGGGCAGATATGCCCACTAAAGATCTGTAAAAAAATTATAACTAATTTATAATCAGCATATAAAAAATAGCAATATATAAATAAATAAATCAGAACAGTTTAGTATATATCTGTATTTCTCTTGGCATTCTATCAAAAAATTGTGGAAGTTCAAATGAATTTACTTATGCTATCTTCTTTTTCTTATAAAGATGCTTTGATTTGATAAATAATAGCACTATTAAGGCTATTTTTATTTTAAATATTTTAAATCATGAACTACTAATATTTAAAATACATTGAGAAAAAGTAAATAATGAGCTATTTTACCAGCCACCTAGACTTAACTCATTGCTTTAAAGCTAATTCTGGCTCCTTTAAGAATTAAATATTATAGATAAACCTGATGAACAAAAATCAAAATCTGGTAAGATGTGAAGAATTTGGAATTCTTGCACTTTTTGGGTTATATTATAAATTTAATACATCCACTTTGGATAGCAATTTGGCAAAGTCTAGTACTGTTGAAGATGTAGATACCCTACTACATACACTTTAGGAATAATGCTTTAAAAAACTATTTAATATGTCCATAAAGAGATAAGGAGAAAGCTCCATTATAAAAGTAAAAGGAAAAATAACCTAACTGCTTATCAGGAAGGGAATGGATAAACTGTTTTATTCATAGAATGCATTTTATATAGTAGCTAAAATAAATATCTAGATCAACATGCATTGATATAAATTTATAACACACATTGTTGAGTGGAGAATAACTTTTTCCCCCACCAGAGGACATATATACACAGTATGTACCATGTGTATAAGTTTAAAAGTACAAAAAAGTAATATCATGTAGTTTATGAGCAGTCACTATGTAGTAAAAGTATGAAAATATGCATTAAGTATGCCCCCACTTTGAGGGCAAATTATTGAAAATATTTTTAGTGTAATTATTTTGTTAATTACTAAAATTCTAATTACTATTTGCAGAAATCATCCAAAATATACAATCTCAGAATTATCTATACTTAAGGTGCTACCATTAGGTAACAAAATTCATGTTTAGGCATTTACATCTTTACT